CTTGGGTATTTATCAACACACAAAGGAGGCCATCACAGCCATTGTCTGCTCTGAGGACTCCAGGTCTCTGCTTCCAGGCTGCTCTGACCCTCTTCTGCATGAGCCCAGAGTTCAGGCTCCTCTGAGAGGAGACACTGAGCTGCAGCACAGAGGAACAGGGACAGACGTTCAGACAGGACATCTGAGAAAGACAGAATCATGAATACACTGTCCGACGCAAGGATGTTCTGAAACCTGAATCTGAAGACCAGAAATATAAATGTGGGCAAAGAGAACCTGCAAAGGAACAGGAAGACAGTCACCACCCTGGCTGACTTTGACAGGGACACGTGTCCATCACACATGCCTCAGTATATTTTTGCTTTTTGTTATGAAAGACTGTTATAAAGACTTTGTGACCACAGTGACACTTCTGTGATCATGTTAAAACTTACATGAGTGGAGAAGAGTCATACAATCAGTGAACTCACTCAGTGATGTCAGTTATACAGAAGGTAAAGGCCAATTTATGGATGAGCCCATAAGGGTCCACATGAGTCTGCCTGATGTAAACATCTGTAAAGGTCTTTGCATGTAAAGTTGCTGCTTGTTTCCTGCAGCATGTGTCCCATACCCCATATCCTTGGTTCTATTCTCATTAAGCTCATTTAGCTGTCTCACACACATTTTATTCTTTTTTCCACTAGTAGTATTAGGGCCACGTTGAGGGAAAAAAAATTGGAAATTTCAAGAATAAAGAATAAATTCCTTAACTTGAGAATGAAATCATGATATTTCAAGAAAAAAAGTCATAATATTATGAGAATGCGAGGAACGTGGAGCATCCTGTGAAGTTATACTTGAGCATAGGTTTCACAAATAAGGAGCTACTTCATCATTTGGCACGTCATCATCATCATCATCATCATCATCATCATCATCATCATCATCAGGACATTGAAAAGATTGTGAGGAAACTGAGCCTTTTCTAATTGACTGACTGTCCTTTCACCTGTTTGATAGGTTGTTGTAATATTCTTAAAAATTATGTTTTTTTTCTCTCAAAATTTTACATTTTGAAATCTAATATTACAACTTTTTCCTCAATGTGGCACTAATACTCTGTTGTATTGTTCAAACAAAGACAACAACCTAAAGTCTCCTCTTCCTGCTGTTATGAGGTGGCCATCTTGTTTTCTAGTGCAAATTTATGGAACATGTCTGTGCATGCAAACCCCTGACATGTAGAGAGGTGTTGTCTGTGTCTGCAGCTGTCTTACTCCACATCTGTCTTGAAGCTTCAGACAGCAGAAGAAAAACCTCTCAGTGTCCTGAACTGAACCATGACTTCAACTTTCTCTCCCAGTACAGATTATAAAAGTTTAACTGAGACTATCTGCTGGTTCTGGTCTGACACCTCACTGCAGGTGAGGTAACATTAGTCCTGGAATCACTGAGGCACTGGAGAGAGACTGAATTAGTGACTGAAAACTGTGGCTATCTGTAAACACATCTACAGTAAGTGGGTCTGTTCTCCACAAGAAAGACCCCAAACAGCTGGAGAGATTACAAATCTCATCTGGGATGAGCTATATAATAAAAATAATATCTATAATAAATGGGAACACTTCTGGTCCCCAAGATAGTATGAGGGGGGGTGGGGGGTCTGGATCCTGCTGCCACTGTGACCTTTGACCTGCCTTGTGCGTTGTGAGCTCAGACTAAAGTTCTCAGATATCTGCAGGTATTTGGAGCACAGCCCTCTATCACTTTGGTATCAGAGCATCTTCTGTTGATGAAAATCATTCAGACAGAAATTACTCCAACCCATTTGTCTATGCAAATTAGTTGTGTATTAAAACACTGGGTTAATACACTGAGCATGTTTCCACCACAGCCAGATGAACATCTACATGATCTCTTCATGACTGTCGTGAAGTGAAGCTGCTCTCAGACATGGAGTGGCTGCCATGGTGGCTTCCAATACTCTGATCCGACCACCACCCTGCACACCACCGAGAGCTGAGTCTGACCTCTGACCATCACACTGCTGGAGAGAGTGGACTGTGGTGGTTAAACTGTTAGCAACAATGGAGCTAACGCTAACGCTGTTATTGTCCCAGAGCAGGTAATCAAAGTTTGAAGCTGATGTTTGATCTGTCCGTTCTCTGCTGAAGAGGATTCATACAGTTTGACTCATGGTAGTTTCTATGGTTGCCATGGTGATATGGTGAACCGCTGTGGCACTCACCAACCCTGTGTTCACTCATGAATCAGTTTTATTACAGCTTTTCTATGGCAGACGCACATAAACCATGTCATTTTGCTGATCTGGGGTCAGATAAGAAAACTCTCTTATTTTGAAAGGCCAGGATAAAATTTATCTTAGGATTTAAAAAAATATTTATGAACGAAGTGAATCCAGCACGTGTGTATCTGTATATATACAGTGGTGTGTATATGTATATGGCAGTATATGTATGTATGATGGTGTCTGTATATGAATATGATGGAGTGTGTATATGTAATATGATGGTGTGTATATGTATATGGCAGTATATGTATGTATATGATGGTGTGTATATTTATATGATGGTGTTTATATATGTATATGATGGTGTATGTATGTATGTGTGTATGAATGTGTGTTATGTTGTGTATGATGGTGTGTGTATATGAGACGTTTGTGTGTCGGGGCAGAGTGACAGTGATGTTTTCTAAAAACATTGATCAGATATTTAGAGCGGTCTTCTCTGATCACACTTGTCAGGGGCCAGCGGTGGAGATAGGCTGCTGATCGGCTTCACACTGACAATGTCTCCCTACACTAAGTCCAAAATCAATCTCTAATTGAACGCTCCAACAACAATCCATACTGTCTCCAAAACCCAAGTGACCGCCCAGCTACATCATTACTTCATCAACGTGTGCTTTCCTGCAGCTGTCACAGCACAGGTGGACTCTGGTCAGAGGGACTTTAGCTTTTAATGGGATGTTCATAAACTCATGTCAAAGATTAAACATTTGAGTTAGGGCCGAACAATACGCAAAAAAAACAACCCACAAAAAACATATTGCAATTATTTTATTTTAACGGATATTGTGATATGAGTCATGTTTTTGTGTGAATGTTCATTTTTCATTTCATTTTCACTGAAAAATTTTTTTTGTACCAAACAATCATGTTCCTTTACATCTGGAGAATATGATGTGTAGGTCAGGGCGTCTCTGTAGCACCACAATACTTCATTTTCTTATTTATTTACCTTTATCAAAAAAGCTGCAGCTCCTGTGATTTGGATATTACACTTTTCCATAATGAGATTTCAATAATATTTTGATCACTGTAATTGTTCAGCCCTAATTTGTGTGTCATCCTTTTTTCCCAAATACAGTGTGACTGCAGCTGACAGTGAACGTTTCATCTTCAAATAGAAAAATATAAATTAGCATTTACTCTGAAAATTTAAAAAAAAGATGAAAAAATGCAGTTAATAAAAAATCAAATGTGTTATGACTAAAAACAAAGGTGTTGATAGTAACACAGTATATTTATACATAAACTCTATGAACTTATTCTATCAGCCAGCATTTTATCAGAACATTTCTGCCTGAAGCTCACCTGTCCTGTTCTGTTTTTTGATTAACTAGTGAAGCCTGAAATAAGTCGTGAATCTTATTTGTTTTTTTATTCTTCTTTTCATTATTAGTGATTCAGTCTTTACAAAATTGAAAATATAAGAGAATTTTAAAATAAAGAAGAAATAAATTAATAATAGTAATACACTATAGAATATGCCTGGTAACAACAGTATCAGAAATCTTATCCATGTTTCCCACCAGAACTTATATTTTTCATATATTATATTATATATTATATACTTTATAAAAGCTTTAGTAATTTCAAATATAAAAGCATCAGTGTGTGATAATGTGTGTAATGATTCATCCAGATACTGAAGATTATATAGATATGGATCAGATGTTAGATTCTCATTATATTTATCTTTTCTGTGGGAAAAAAACATTTTAATGTTTCTATATAAATTTTAATTCTAAATAAAAATTAAATATTTTTGATGATGTAAACAGGAACTTTAATTTTCTTACACTGCACAGGAAACAGAAGAAACAGCAGAATCTGTTGTGGTTAAACATGGAATTAGAAGTTGATTTAAAAATAATCCAAATGATTGTTTCGACAGTTCAGATGTTGTCATAGAAGAGAAATTAAACTCTTTGTCGGGAGTCAGGGTCAGGCAGGTGAGGACATGAAACAATCTGTAAAACATGTTGTACTGAACCAGGAATGCAGAACAACAAAAACACAGCAGTGACCTTGTGCTCCTAAAATAGACTCTGTCATTGTGACTGGCAGAGCCTTTTATTCTCTGCTGGGTGATTAACTTCCTCACATTATACCAGGCTCTGAACACGGATCTGCCCGTCCAGTAAAACCAGCAGCTGCCGGCAGAATCCTCACACCGTCGCTCTGTGAGCGGCCAATAAAAATACAGGATTCATCGTATAGAGAGGAGGCCTGAGTAGCCCGGGGAGTAAGGTGACCTGACATCCCCGTTTTCCTGGGACAGGCCACCAAAAATGGGGAATGTTCCGGCTGGAGCTGTCCCTGGAAATGTCCCTGTTTTTAACTGTGAATTAAAAACAGACCAGAGAGAAAGAAGAGCCGCAGAGCAGCAGGCAGATGTCTAGCGTTGTGCTTATTTTGGCCAACAGAGGGGGCTGACTGCTAGCTGTAGCAGCTTCAGAAATGTAGCTAAAACCATCCAATCAGAGTTATACAATCAATTAATTTTTTTGTGGCAGAGAAAAGGTTGGCTGGCTCACTCATTGGTTAGGAGTTCATAACCGAGCAGTAAACTAACGAAAACAAACATACCCAAAGCCCCCAGCAGGAACTGTGGACTATTACAAACTAAAGGAATATAAACCACAGGATCCATACTGAGGTCTCATCATTGTGAGCTGAGTGGCTGTTATTTAAGGTGGAAATCACTTACCTCGTTTCTGCATGAAACTGAAGAGGTCGTCAAGAAACTCTTTGCGCTTTTCATCATCGTCCAGTTCATACAACTGAAAAAGAAAGAGAGAGAGACAGTTAATCATTTATTGAACATGTTTCTCCATCAGCGGTGGTGGGAAGTCTCTGAGTCTCCTGAACACAGGTGAGGACGATGAGATGATGTTAATGAAAACACATAGAAATGTGAAATCACAAACCGACATTAGGTGAAAACCACAAACCCTGTCATTAAATACACGACTGAGCTACATGTGAAACACAAACACGTGACGTGTATGTGACTCTGAGACACGTGATTCTCTCTGCTGCTCTTCTACTGGTCCATTAGACTGTCAGTCAAACCTGAGCGCTAATGACAGCTAACCATGTCACAGTGTCTACAGTACGAGTGCTAGCAAACTTGTCCTGTTTGTTAGCGTAAATTAGTTTTTGACCATGAATTGATTTTTCACATCTGGGAGCATCAGAGAGGTAAAAATTCGTCACTGATCTCCGGGTCTGAACAACTGACGACCGCCTGTTTAACCCCTTCAAGAAGCTGCCTACGCCATCTTGACAGTGTCTGACTCCATTGCTGGTTTGTAGCAAGTGTAAGCCTTGTAAACAGGTGAGTTCGCCCTCTGTACAGTTGTCATGAAGGAGGAAATTAACTATAGAGGCCAAAACTGTTTTTTGTACTGTTATAACTGTTTATTGCTGCTGTACAGTTGGACATTTTAAGAGTCTATGGGGATTGACTCACTTTTGGAGACAGACTCTAGTGGTCAATGGAGGAACTGCAGTTTTTGTCACCTCAGTGTTGGCTTCATTGTTCAGCTTCAGAGGTTGAGGCTCGGCTCGGTTTCCACTGCCTGACTCCACTTAACTCACAGCTAACCCAATGCTAATCCAATTTATTTAGCTGTAAAGTTGGACATTTTAACATGGGAGTCTATGGGGACTGGCTCACTTTTGGAACCAGAATTTAGTGGTCATTAGAGGAACTGCAGTTTTTGGCACTTCAGTGTTTCAGCCCCAGGTTGCCCCATGATCAAAACATTAAATAAAACAATGCAAAAAATGAAACATATGGAGCCTTTACAAATTGATTACAAATATATACTGCAATATTCACTATCTAGTTAGTGTTTGTTCATGAGTTAGTTATTTATTATGAGACAGATTAAATATGAATTTCCACATCCTCCCAAGCTGCCACTCGACCCTGGTTAAAAGTTAACACACATGTGGACACACATTATATACAGTTAAAATGTGATTATTCAACTATTGTAATTGCGTTTTCTTTTTGGGTTTCCCTTGTCCTGCTCTGTAACATTCATCATAATTATGTACTGTTATTATGAAATGTAATACTGAATTATTATTAACAATAAATGTGTTATCAGAGTGGCAAAGAGCTTTCATTTACTGTCTTGAGTGTGTTGACCTCAGTCTCATGTTGTTGATCTGAAAACACTGTAAATGTACAGACTAAGATCAGGATCATATAGTATCAGCAGGATGTCCCCTGGACTTGGTCCTGCCTATAGCCCTCAGTATAATTTAGTAACACAGGTTTCCTTATTGGCAGATCCATTATGCTCCTCATCCTCTCTATTCACGGGGCAGCCAAAGAGTCATAGAGGCTTTTAAATGGCCCTCTGCAGCCAGATACAGCTGATGGAAATATGTTAGTGGCAATGTTCACTTTGAGTGAGGCCCACAGCCATGTTAACAGGCCCACATGATCAATACTGAAAGACAGAGGGATGACCTTTGGAATCAGTGGGGCCCTGTGGACGAGGCCCCTGAGATAATAACTGATCATTTAGAAGTGTATTAGCTGTCACCAATATTAAAGGAGCAGTGCAGGTCAGCACTCAGGAGGAAACTGTGTGTGCGTGTGTGTGTGTGTGTGTGTGTGTGTGTGTGGGGGGGGGTATGTGTGGGGGTGTGTGTGTGTGAGTGGTGTTGGTGTGTGGGTGTGTGTGGGGGTGTGTGTGGGGGGGGGTTCGTTAAAGGGAGGGTTCCGGAGGTGGGAGGCAGGCAGAGTGTGTGTGTGTGTATGTGTTTGTGTTGGGGGAGGGGAGCTGTGAGTGCAGTGTGAGTGCTGCGCTGCAGGCGGTCGGCGGCGGAGGGAATATCGAAACGTAAAGGAACAGCAAGTGACTGCAAAAATGTTAAGTGCACAGATGCACTGAGGACGACAATGCTGCAGGATCAATGCTGAGGCCTTAGAGTGCAGAGGCACACACACGGGGGAAATGATAAGCATGTGCTGCTGCAGACAATAACACGCATGTTCACACACACACACATCAACCAGCACAAAGAGGTAAAGACAGTAATATGAATTCAAAACGTCTATATGTAACTGAAAAACTGAATACTTCTATATGTAACTGAAAAACTGAAAAACTGAATACTACTGAATACACACAATTTAACAATTGGCTTCAACACAAACATGTGTCTGAATTTACATTGTTTCTACCTGAGTTTGAAGGAGGTGCAGCTGCACTGAGCATCGTCATTTATGACTTCACATTAGGTTGTTATGAAATTTCTACAGAGGAAATTAATTAATGCAATCCTGAGAGAAATTTGTATAATTGAATAATATATTACTACAGGAATGATTAAGTCAACAGTCTTGTGACATAAAGTGTAGTAAAAATTCTTTCTTTTTCATTTTCCCGTCTTCACTTACCTCACTTCCTTTCCTTTCATCATCACTGATTAACTCTTGTTTTCACCCTTACCATCCCTCGTTAACCTGATTGAATTCACCTGGTCACTACACGGTTATTTAAAGACTTCATTCCCATTCATTCATTCTTTTTCACTTTTTCTGTGGGGTGGCATTCTGGTCTTCAGTTCTTATACTATAAACTTTATCTATCCATATTATTTTAAGAAAGACATATGAGGCTCCTTTGATTTATTGTCTCAGATTAATCTTTAATCTCTATTTGTTTCATTTCAGAAGCAGCAGCCCACATGTGTGTTTTCCCCTTCATTGCTACAAATAATTATTTCAGAAGAAAACCTTTGTCAGAAGATTGAGGTTTCATGGACTTTTCCTTTCCATGCATCCTGACCTGATGCCCATGATAATTCTTTTTTTCTAACCCTCCTACTTAACATTAATATGAAATGCTTGGGAGTATGTGTTGGAACTTTATTTGAAGTTGGCAGATAAAATGCATTTTACACATGAAGCTGTCTGAGTTTAATAGTCCAGTTTTTTTTTCTTTAGTTTAACCAGCAGCTTTAATGGAAAACTGAAGAACCTGCAGCAGTTCCTGCTCAGTTTCCAGTCAGAAAGTAATAATGATGAGTATTGAACTACACCTGTGTTTATCATTTGTCTTCTTACACCTCAGGTGAAGACGTTCAAGTTGATCTGGTGGATATTATATTTAACTTTAAAGTCAGGTGACCAACAATGTTTTCCAGACCTCAGGTGTACATTCAAATAGAGCAGTGAAGCAGGTCGATGAATCCATGTGTACTGGACACAGTGTCAGATCATTAACCAGTCACGTAAACATGTTGTGATCAGACTGTACGTACATGTAATCACTCTCTGACTGTCTTCATATAGTTATAACCTTAAACTGGCTGCACAGACTCAACATGTATGAGAAGAGCAGTGAACTCTTCCGATAACATTTCACCTACTTCCTTTTATAATCTGCTTTAATGGTGCATACACTCAGTTTGTTTTCCTGCAGCAAAGAGAAAAAGTCACTGGGCAGCATTCCTGTTTGTTTGAACACTATACGATAACCCCCACCCCACCTGTGTGTGTGAAGTAAATGAACAGACAGGCTGGGGCAGGCTGAAGGACACTGAGTTCAGCTGAACCTGGAGGCTGCGATCAGCCTGTAAGTCACCAGGGTCAGCTGAGTCTATACACACAGAACTACACCTGTAACCTGTGATTCTACACACACACACACACAGAACTACACCTGTAACCTGTGATTCTACACACACACACACTGAACTACACCTGTAACCTGTGATTCTACACACACGCTACACTGAATCTAACACTGTAACCTGTGAATTCTACACACACACACTGAACTACACACTTGTAACCTGTGATTCTACAACACACACATGAACTACACCTGTAACCTGTGATTTTCTAGCACACACACACTGAACTACACTTGTAACACTGTGATTCTACACACACAACAGCAGAAACTACACCTGTAACCTGTGATTCTACCACACACACACACACTGAACTACACCTGTAACCTGTTGATTCTAACACACACACACAGAACTACACCTGTAACCTGTGATTCTACACACACACACTGAACTACACACTTGTAAACCTGTGATTCTACACACACACACACACACCTAACGATTTACACCATCAGAACTACACTTGTAACCTGTGATTCTACACACACACACTGAACTACACCTGTAACCTGTGACTCTACACACACACACACACACACACTGAACTACACTTGTAACCTGTGATTCTCCACACACACACACACACCCACACACACACCCACACACACACCCACACACACACCCACACACACACCCACACACACACCCACACACACACCCACACACACACCCACACACACACCCACACACACACCCACACACACACCCACACACACACCCACACACACACCCACACACACACCCACACACACACCCACACACACACCCACACACACACCCACACACACACCCACACACACACCCACACACACACCCACACACACACACAGAAATACACCTCTAATCTGTGTTTCTACACACACACACAGACCTACACCTGTAACCTGTGATTCTACCCACACACACACTGAACTACACCTGTAACCTGTGATTCTACACACACTGAACTGGAGGGTGAGAGTGACAGATGGAGGAAGAGTGAGAGGTGGAGGTAGAGCTGGAGGACAAGGACAAAAAAGGCCACAGCTTTCAGATAAAATCTGGGCAATGTTAGTTGAGTATGTTATGAACTACGGGTTGACAGTGAGAGAGGCCGGACAGAGGGTCCAGCCCA